AAGGCATGTAGGGGTTTCACGAAAGGTGGTCCAAAGAAATGTAGCCTCGGGCCTATTCCAGCATCACAGGTCTATGAAAGGATAACGTCGGAAAAGATATGGACTTGTGAAGCTGAAGGAAAGAAAAAAGCTTTTTCTTCGCGCTGAGGCATTTCTAGACATGAGACTAAGGGGGTTCATTAATCTTTAACATGAAAGCCTTAACAAGTAAGCACCATAATTTCAAAAATTGATGTGAGGGCATTCGGCAAAAGTATGGCACAAGCAGATGCCCAGTGTGTAGTCTCGGGCAAGGTACGTGTTCCCGAAAGGCGTAAAAACGCCGATGAGAACAGACAGGAAGTCTGGCTGATACAGTACAGCCCGAGACCAAGAGTCAGACAGCCAGCGCTCTTACAAAGCGACCGTTTGGCGTGCGCTTCAGGAGAGGACCTGACACAGGTCTCCAGTTTACTCTGGTGGCGTCCATCCGTGCGGCCAGCGCTCTACCAAAGCGACCGTTTGGCGTGCGCTTCAGGAGAGGACCTGACACAGGTCTCCAGTTTACTCTGGTGGCGTCCATCCGTGCGGCCAGCGCTCTACGAAAGCGACCGTTTGGCGTGCGCTTCAGGAGAGGACCTGACGCAGGTCTCCAGTTTACTCTGGTGGCGTCCATCCGTGCGGCCAGCGCTCTACCAAAGCGACCGTTTGGCGTGCGCTTCAGGAGAGGACCTGACGCAGGTCTCCAGTTTACTCTGGTGGCGTCCATCCGTGCGGCCAGCGCTCTTACAAAGCGACCGTTTGGCGTGCGCTTCAGGAGAGGACCTGACGCAGGTCTCCAGTTTACTCTGGTGGCGTCCATCCGCGCGGCCCTCTTGCGAGGCACTTCAAACGGGCTGCACCCGACCGAACCGCTGGGACCAAGCATCGAGAGTGACTGAGGGCAGGACAGACGGACCGAACCGGAGGTAGACGGACTGACAGAACCGGAGTTAGACAGACAGCCAAACAAATGCGGAACAAATGTACGAGATGCAAGCAGAGATGAACAGAAGGGCAGATGAAGGAGTCACGTGTACATCCATGACGCGTACCTTTGTGACAAACGTGGGGGACGCATACGAACCCCAAGATAAGATCAGAAAGATGGCGAGGGAAAAGCAGACGTACGGAGCGGACCGCGGAGGAGCCAGACGGAGAGGCAGCTGCACGGCGGGCCGGACGCGGAAGCTCTCAGTGCGTCACATATGTTACCGGCGCGTCCCGCCGGACCTTGAGCTGTCGCCGGAGACAGATTGGCCGTGGGTCCTGGCAACAAATCCGCCCCGGGAGCTGGCACGCTGTGGGAATTCTGCCGAACCGGCGGCCGATATTGCTGCGGTGCTCCGCACCCAGCCAGAAATTGGTCCGGCGAAATGCTGCGCCGAGTCCTGCAGTTGCTGTGCCAGGCTGGGCACAAAGGAAGTTAAAAAGTTTGTCGTTCTCCCATTGTGCGAAACGGGAAGGGGAGGTCAGACCCCACCCGCAGTTTAAATAAGGAGGCCCTGGGGCTGCCGATATCAACATTTTTGCGAAGGGCGTGGCTTGAATGTGGTCCCGGCGCCGCAGGAGCACGAGTAGTTGTCCAGGATTAGGGGATGTGAGGGGATTACCGCGGGGGGATCAGAGACGATTTGGGCCACTCCTTTCCTCGCACCGCCATAAGCCTAGAGCTAATTTTTCCTAAAGGTGTGCATTTGTGGGGAGGGGGCTGGAGCCCCCAAAGCCCGCGCATAACGCGATAGATCCCTCGCCTATGGCTGGTGGCATCGTTTCAAAGGTCTCTTCGCTACACATTGTATCGGACGTGCTTCTCCATACAAGATACAGAAGTGGTGCGCCCTAGGCGCATGACTTTTTCCTTGTCTTCTATTGTAGTAGGCCGTACATCAGTACGCCATGAACACTCATTTCTCAGTGGTATTCCCCAAAACAATTTGTCTTTTCCGGATGGTTGAGATGGAAAGATGGGTGAGTTATACTACGTCCAAGTAGTATAGTCACTGAAGACCGCATAGATTCAGCAGGGCCCTGCATTTTTAGTGTACTTCCACAGACATATGTCTGGGATTGAGCGCAGTAAACATAGTATTGCACGCCTCTGAAATCTGACTGGATGCCGTGTGTTTAAAAAATCTCACCGCATAGACGGCCTAGTCTGAATGCTTTACGGGGTGGCGGGAAAGTGCATGCGCCGTGTATGCTGCACCACTTTTGGCGTCTGCTGGCAAAGGATTCCGGAGTGGCACAAATTTTATTTCATGTACCGCTTCAAGATATTAAAGAGAATGTTCACCTATAATTGTTACTCTACTTTTAAGCTGAACAGACTGCGCTTAACAACACAGCTTCTTTGTTTAGGAAATATGCTGCTCGATGCGTCATTGTCTGATAGTATCATCGTAACCTACACAGCATGGATTGAGGGCCAATTGACGGCCGTTGTGTCTGGTAATCGTGCTCACGAATAACAGATATGCACGACTCGATCATTACAGTTTTCCCGGCCTTGATCACCGCACGGCCTATGGAATGGCATAATCTAGGTGACGTTATAGTCCCGTCATGAGTGCCATCATGACTTTGAAATACTCTTCCCCAAATACTCCGCCTATTTTCGCGAGCGTGTAGCTCAGAAACTAGAGTGGTTTAAATCTTTAGGAGGACATGACTGTGAACTGCACCGAAAGGTCCTCACGCTAGCTATTTCCGTTCAAAACCCCACATCAGTATGGACAACTCCCGTTAAAAAAGCATGTCACATTTTAAGATATTTAAGTAAACATGGGCTATGAAGAAGCAAGCTCATTTACAACTATCGGTACACTTGTAAATGGAAAGACCGTTATAGTCAGCACAATTCTTTGTTAAGTAAATATGCTCCTAAATGTGTCATGGTTTGATTATGTCATCATATCTTGCACAACATTGATGTAGAGCCAATTGACGGCCACTGTACCTGGAAATCGCACTCATGAATGTCAGATGTGAACGCCTCGACAATGATCTTGTTTTGGTATCGATCGTCGCATGGATTGCTGAATGGCAGAATTTGATTCACGATATTATGACGTCATGAATAGCAAGGTGACTTTAAAATACTCTCCCCGATATATTTATCCATTTTCATGGTCGTGTAGCTCAGAAATTAGAGGGGCTTAGGTCTAAAGAAGGGCAGAATTGCAAACAGCACTGCAAGGTCTTCAAGATGGCTATTTCAGTTCAAAACCCCATATAAATGCGGAACACTTCCTTCATTCGGTTTATCGTGGATCAGCTGCGCATCGGACGTGTTTTCTCAGCAACGCAATGTACTTCAAATAATGCTATTGACCAATTCACCGTGCATGACAACGTACCAGAAAGGGTCGAATCGGGCAGCGGATCATGTGATGTAAGAATATCAGGTGTACGTTGTAAGGTTGCTGACCTACCTTTGGACAGGCCATGTTGGGCCATGGATTCTGCGATGACCATTTCTAGGGATTCGTTCAATCTGATGCAACAACGGAGCGTTAGACGAATACATACGTCTCTGAAATACTTTCTTAGGTAACACAGCAATTAAATTGACAAATTTCATTGACCTAGGGTTAGGTATGAAGGCCAGATCAAGATCAAGCCAGTTTTATTTTTGCTCTAAAGCTTGCGCGCTGTATGGGATAAGTTCTGGTGCTCATTTTACTTCTTTGATAATGGGAACCGCATTATACATCTTCTATGGACTTCTTCAAGGTCACGACATATCACTGACCTAAACTGACCCAGGTCAACTGCGTAGCGTAATCTTTGACGTTTATTCAAATATAAAAATCAAAGCAGTCTTGTACGATTTTGGTCACTATGACCCTTGAAAGGTCAAACAAGGTAAATGGCGGTAGATGAGAGTGTGATCTTTTACTTTGAACGGGTTTCTAAATTCTTGGGGTACTTTGAACACCATCCTGGAGTTTGACATTTTGTGATCTTATTTGACCCGGAGGTCGTAATCTAGAAAACACAAATTTTGACACAAGTGAGTTCATGTACAAGACTATACACCCATTTGGTGTCTCTAGGTCCCTTTGTTTCTAAGAAGATCTCAGGGGTCAAAGTGACCCCCCCGAGCGCAAGGTGTTTAAACGGCCACGCGGGCACATGTTTTAAAGCAGCTTAATGTAAGGGGAAGATATCGCCACTTTTGGTTTCTTTCCTTCCATTCACAATACCATGACGATATGGCACTGTCGTTTTTTGTCCCTCTTGTTGTGGTGCTACTGCAAGACGGTGAGCTTCTGTAAGGTTCGTTTTACGGTCAAAACCGGAAAGAAACACCGCATCGCAAATAACGAAGAGCTAGAAGTTTTATCACCACGGTATAAATAAGATGAACACAATCCACCGCGACTAAAACTGTCGTTTTTGATTCCATTAAGGGAGGTTGGTACAAGATGCTTTCACAGTTTGGTTAAGCCCATATATGCCCATATGGAGAGGGTACCGGGTTGAAATGGGTGCAGATTTTTAGAAAATTATTGGTACGGGTACGAGTATGGGTAACACGTTTACTAGTGGCCAAGCAGGTACATCAGGAGATATCACACAACGTTGCTGTTTGCGCTTCTTTTCGTCATAATTTCCTTCATTCGCACCACTTTTGTACCTATTAACGCAAATGACCAAGTTCTTAATCGTAAACCTTTCCTAGAACCTTGCATTGAGAACCAATGTGTTGGAGAATACAAGCGGATGGGCAACGGCTGGATACAACCAACTAATCAATGTGGAGCGGGTGGGTATGGGCACAGCCCTACAGAAGCGGGTAAATTGATCTAAGACATCCTAACCTGTGAACGCCTCTGCTTGTGTTGGTGGTATCTCAAAGTGATATGCGCCCGCCGAAGAGTTGTTTGAAAACCCCTAAATCACCTTAATCGTCATGGTACAACAGGGAGTTGGCGAACAGGCCGGCGTAATTAACAACTAACATCTGGATTTCGCAGGCCTCATTATGAAAACAACGCCGCCCACGATCAACTGCAAGCTGGCCAGACAGCTGTGTGAGAAGGACAGGGCCTGCCAGTCCATCACCTCTATGATACCCAGACTCTGCGGTCAAGAGCTAGGTAAGTATGATCGTTTGATCGAATAGCTTAATGAAGTTATCGCCAAATAAATTAACCAGTGATTAAGGCATGGCTTTTAGGTTGCTTACTAGGGTTTCAAAATCATAGCGTATTATTGCACCATTCTGACGAAAAGACGCTTTACACAGATAAAATGTTCCAAAGATAAGGGCTCGAGTATATTCTGCACACTTCTTCCGGGGTGCGGTTTCTGCTTTAAGGTTTTGCTCCATGGTATTTTTTACGTGTCTTTAAAGCAATACGAAACAATGTGAACATGCCTTCTTAGAACATAGAAATGCAAAAAATATGGTTATTATTAAACATACGTATAATAAACACTTCACATGTGTCATAAAACCGAAAAACTTTGCAATAAGCGTCATAAAGCTGAATGTATATGCGAAAAGGCATCATTTTGTATCATCACTTGAAAAATAGTGTTGAAATTATGATTATATGTAGTCGATCTAGTATTATCTTAGTCATCAGAAGTTATGTTAAGAATGGTTAGAAAAATAATCCGGTGCATAAATAGGTGTTGAAAAAGACAGTTAAATCTCCCATATAAATATGTATTCAACCGCACGCCAAATTGGACCACGTGGTAAGCACTCGCTTATACAGCACAGCAGATAGCTTGACTAGCTACCAGAATGTTCGCAGATGCGCAATTACTACACTTTGTTAGATACCAGTCCCGGTGCATACCTTTCTGTTAGAATGGTTTCAAACGCCCCGCCAGCCATACTGCTCACTTCTGTTACGAAATGGTTTGCTCTCGCAACCTTAAATGCACATTTGCATCCGAAGACTTGGAAAACCGCTCTAAGCGGGATGCGCTTTTTAGCTTGTGAGCCTAAGAAATCTGAACCCATTGCGTTTCATTAACACGCGCCTGGGTGGCCGCTTGAACACCTTTCGCTCGGGAAACGGTCAATTTGACCCCCTTTCCTAAGATCCTAAAAACAGAGATAGCTATAGAAACCAAATTTGCAGGGTGGGTTGACCTGTATGTGAACTCACTTTTTCAAAATTTTAGACTCCTAGGTCACGATCTTGGGGTCAAGAATGTTAAAAAGGTCAAACCCCATATTGGCGTCTCAAGTGTCCACAGACCTAATGCAGCAGCTGTGAAGCTAGATGCCTGTCATCTACAAAAAAGAGCAGTGGTGTTCAATTAAGGTCGTCTTAGGTCAGTGACCTACTTTGATCTTCAAAGCGTCCCCGAAACATGCCTGCTGTGGTCTCTGTCATCAATAAGTTCGAAATGAGAACCAGAAACTACCCCGTCAACCAAGTTGTCGTGCAAAAAGTATGCTGGTTTGACCTCGGTCTGACTTTCATGCCTGACACTAGGTCAATGGAATATGCTGCCATTATAGTTCAATTGATTTACTGTTTAAAAGCTATATCGGACATGCATAGCTTCGTTTAACACTCCGCTGCTGCTTCACATTGAACGATTTCCTCGAAATGCCCTTCGCTGAAATCCACACTTTGACCTGTCATAGCTCAGCGACCTCAAAAGGTTCCTCCTTTCTTGGAACCTACAAGGTCCACTATCTAATTATTCATTGCTATGCAAAATTGGGCGTGGCGTAGCCGCGCCCTTCAGAAATCCTGTTGGAAAACGCTCAGCGGGAGATCAAATTGACCCCTTCCCGAGCGCATGTTCAGATTGCAGACGAGCGCTTAATTACTTCGAATTTGTGAGGCTGAATTATCGGTAGAACTTCAAAGGTTGACGTTCCTTTGTTGGTTTTATCGATATTTGACCTGTCTACCAATGCGCACAGAACCGGGTGGGTGTCCCCGTCCGATGTCGAATATCCATTTCAGAAAGATGAGTTGAGGAGGCGTAAAGAATGACGGCGGTCGGATTAGTTTGTGCAGCCCAGTGTGGTTTGTACTAGCCCGCAAGGCTTAAATTTTGATAAAGGCTACAATCTTCTTGTCGGGACACGCTAAAAAAAGATAAGGACAAATGCTTCATTTTAGTCATCTGGACGACGAATTAATGCACTAAATGTTCTTTTTTAAGTTGTGGAAACTTTTTTATTAAGTTTAAGTGTATACTAAACATTATGGCAAAAGGAAGATAGCTTTGATGCAACAGGTTAACAACATGTCTCGTATGAAGAATAAGTTGCTATGTTAAGTGAGTCCCTTTACAGACATTTCTTCAGCCCATGCTTTTAGTTCACCCAACTTTTAAGCTGCCTGGAAATCAGCAAGCCGAGGCGTTGGATGCCGACATATCCATTGTTGTTTTCGTCGGTGCTGTGTGGAACAAGGTGGGCTTCCAAAATTATTTTATTCAAGGACCATTTATCTCACATCATGTTAAGAAACATAATACCTGTAAGCTCTGTGAATACTGTAAGCAGGCTTTGTAAGTAGTTAGGCAACCACTGCAAGTACTGCATACCTGTGAGCAGGAACGCTGCAAGGATATAGGAGTTTATTTTGTCGTGTCCGCGTCGGAGATGCCACCGAATGTTTTCAATAAGATTTGAAAAGTTTCGGTAGGAAGCGACCTGACATTATACCTGCCCATAAAAACATGATCTTGCTGATGTCCAGCTAAACGTAATTTAAGCAACTTGTGCGTCTTTATAAACATGTTTTTAAATCTCTGCGAAATAGTTCTAACCGAAAGTTATTGATAAAAGGTGTGTAGTTAGAACGCAAACGCTGCAAATTTCTAGGAAAGTTTTGAAAAGCTCGCACCATAATGCTTTATGAAAACGACTATTAACTTATATTTTAGTTTGCAAAATGATCTCAGGTCTTTCGTGCCGCGGCCGCATGTGTGGCTGTCTTTATTGTTTGAGGGAAGGCAGCGAGGTAAAAGCGTAACACATGTTATGTTTTTCAGGATCATCGGGCTGTGTTCACACAACTGCGCCGTGTTTCAGTGTCCTGCTCGACGGTGACAGTCACCAAGTGTCGAGCAGCTCTCAGAACACTGGTGGCGTTTCAGTTCTTCCAGCCCACCTGTCTGTGTAAGGAACCTCGCTTGGATCCAGAGTGCAACAAGTACAGGAACCTGGTGTTCGACCACCCCTGCTTCAGCGTCAAGCTCAAAGGTAATGTGTGTTTAACATTTGCAGGCTTTATTGTAAGAGAATGGCCGTAAATGCCAGTTGTTCATCGACGTCATGTGCGGAAATGCAAAGGTAATGCCTAGATAGAAGGAGCACGCCCTTCTTTCATGATCAGATATCTTTGAAACATGAGGAGCCAACTGTTCGATTTCCTGACATCATACAACTGCTGAAACTACTTCACTGCGTAATGTTTATGTGTAGTTGGAACATCTATTACTTTCCACTAAAGAAAGCGCGTAATTTTTTATCCACTCGGCATATGAAAACTTTTAGCTAGACAAATGCTAACGTTAGCGATATTTTACTCTAGCTCTATCTGCTGCTCACTTGCAAGTACATGTCCACGTAGGAGTGAACTCACGCGGTACCAGATCACTGACTGTTTTGTGATTTACAGTCCTATGGCCTATACTTCCTCACCAGTACAAACAGTAACTGTCTGCAACTGAATGCGTCACAACTTTACAGACAAGGACCCGTTCCCGATACACGCACTGCCGACGTGCGGGTACGCACTCGGAGCCTGTCTACAGCGGTCCAAATGTTCATACATGTACGAGAACTACGTCAACGCGTGCCGCTTCGAAGGAGACACGTGCCACATGTCAAACAGGTGGGCGAAGTCCGGCTGCTCATGCGTCCCACACCCCCGCACGGTAGACGGCAGGTGTGAGCCATTCTTTTCATGGAAACTTCTGACCATTCAGTAACATAACTTGCATCGCACCTTCCGACACCACGACACGGCCTTGCGCAATGCATGTGGAGTTGTTCGCCGCGAAATACGAATTGGCATTTTTCCTGCTCTGCTGCTGGGGTGCTATCTCCCGGCTACATCCCTACTGGATGCTATGCCTGGTAATGACCACTTGCGCATGCCACCGCACTACCGGGACGTAAACCTTCAACGACATTGGATCTTCAACTTTGAAGCCCCTGCTGACAAAATACGCGAGTTGCGAGCTCAGATCTTTGCTGGAAAAAAAAACATTGACTGCATGTAACTATGGTGTCCACCGTTCAATATTGCACACGATTGGGTCACACCATGAAGATATTCTGGAATGTGGACCGGCGATGAGGCCAACTTTTGGCTCAGTTCAGTCATGTTAATAAAATACAAAGCCATCACTAAAAAGCAACAGTGTTGGCTATTACTTTTAACAGGGTTAGTTGATAGCAACGGTGTTAGCTTTTACTAGTAACAGTGTCAGCTTTTAACTTTTATCATAAGACTGTTTTACAGCTTGTTGATAGCAAAACTCAACAACTTTTTGGCTTCGTCTCGATTTATTGCACAATGCATTGGTCACAATATTTGTGGCGGGATGTGTTTGCACCATGCAACGTCTGCAGCTTCGCGATTGTTCAAAAGAAATCCTACCTGGAGGGGGAAGGGGAGGGGGCAGCTCAGAAAGGTCTTCGAAATCTCTGCACAAGTTGCGGAATATCGTGCAAGTTTATTGTGGCTAAACATATTTAAGTAAGGCTCCAGGATTACTTCCATTGTTCTCACAAGGCACAAGAGCTGTCCAACAAGAGTTCCCCTCTGCACTCCCCCCCCCCCCCCTGGAAGGGGGAGCTGAGGGGAGCTCTTGTGGCTTGTGAGACCAATGGAAGTAATCCTAGAGCCTTCCTTTAATCTGTTTAGCCACATTAAACTTGTGCGATATTCCGCAACTTTTGCAACGATTTCAAAGACCTTTTTTGGGCTCTTGTGCCTTGTCAGAACAATGAAGGCAGTTCTAGGGTGCGACTTTGGTTTTCTCAGCCGTAAAATACTTTTGGAACACTTTACAACACATATTATAAGTTGGCTTCCGCTGTTTTAGTAATCCACGAGGCCGACGGCGACGTTCAGTTGCTTTCTTCATCCCGTCTTTCCTATTAATGACAGTGGCGCCCGATTTGCTTTTGCAGCCTGACGTCTTGCAACACAACTTCACCCATTAGCGTGCCGCCACTGTGCTCCTTTCAGAGCTATATGCAAGTGTGAGGCTTGCCAAATTTTGTAAAACATATAAGCAGCTTCACTATTCAGTGTCGAAGCTGAAATTAAAATTATGGACGTAACAATATTGGTAGTAATTCGTGGCGTGGTTTTCGCTACTACAGCCGTCTAACACTTGTTGGAGTACGATACGCCCTACAGAGCACCCCACCTACCGCCCCACCTCTATGTTTTCGGCTTCAAACATGAGTTGATTGGAGCTGTAATCATGATTCGTCCATCATTCACTTGTAGTGAGCTGTTTTTGCACGCACGTGCCCTTATAATTAACCGACTTCCATTTTATTCCTCGCGGTGGTTTCGACTTTCACCATAACGCTACATTCATTCGTCGTAACCATAACCAACTTAGGCCGACAGCTTTGCCCCTCTGATATACTTCAGTGGCACACAGGGTCCGGGTGGAGAACAGGGTGATGTTGACTACTATACCGCCAGAGTGGGATATTCGTGGAACCGTGAACCCGCGTTTGCAATATTACGTTCTACTTTTCTAAACATGGCAGACCGCTTCACACGAGGCATTCGGTGCCATTCGGACTAAGGGGCAATGGCGTGTAGCAAGACGCTCTTGCCTTGAATCTCATTTTCATCTCTCACATGGCTCTCGCTCTCGGTCTTAGTTATCGTTCAGACAGCGTCCCTGCAGTTAAGGAGAGTCTGCCTTCGCAATGTCAACGTCTAGAGACTTCATCGCTATCCTTATGCCAGCTTCACCAAGCACCCCATCTTTCGAAAACGTCTTTACGAGATCGCTTTGAAAGCTTCGCTGATTTGCACCTTCCACAACGTCTTGTGGGCACTGTTTCTTTTTATGAAAGTTACTCCGACCGTTTATGCCAGTTTCACCTAGCGCGTAGCATGCCAACAGCGCATATCTGATGCATCGTTGCCCTGAGGGCCAAAGTTGTTTTTCATCCTTAGTCATGCTCAGGCAGCGCCCTTGCCCCTGAAGATAGATTGCCTCCCCAATGCCAACCACCCAGGGATTTCATGGTCTGGATCCCTATATCAGCTCTACTGAACACGATATCTTTCGCAAACGTCTTTACAAGATCCTTGGAACGTCTTCACCAAGTCGTACTTTCCACAACGTCGTGTGGGCACTGTTCCTGTTTTTGAGAACCTCTCCGACTGACTGCCCCTGCTCCTGAATGAGGTCGATCTTTCTACGTAACCACTTCTGCTCTGACAGTCAAAAATCCGCATCCTCTATCCGCTAAGCTACCGGTGTCGGTAGACATCATGGGCATGAAGAGCCTGCATACATGGTCGTCTTTGGCCTCATGTACCCGCTTGGTTGCTATTTGTTCATCCAGATTGTGTGTTTGGCTTATTCCCGACAACATGGCAACATCAAAATAATGCTTATTTGCCTTAGATATCAGCCCCTCGATATGTGCATAACGTTCCCTTTAAAAACCTGAATGGCCAACTCTTCTCGAGTAGTTAAGGTGACTGATTTGTGACATCATTTAGTCAGAGTGCTGCCCATTTAACGATCATATCCCGAGTTGTATCAGTATTCGCATCACATTGGAACCCGAGCAAAAACATGGGTTAGCAACATGATAAACGGAGTATTCCACATTTGGATGTGGTTTCGAGCTGAAACAGCCATTTTGAAGAACATTCAGTCCAGAAACCCTGCCTTTTAAAGACTTACAACTCCTTTTTCTGAGCTTCACGTCACGAGGTTGGACAGACCTTCTCGCACAGACTGTTTCAAGGTCACCTAGACATGCATGACACGATAAAAGCGTCAAGCAAATGATATCACCGCATTTGCCATATAATGCTCAAGGCCCTCAAAACATGGTCACCAAGTTATTCGTGTCTGGCGTCACTAACTCGATCCCTGGCATCAACGAACTTCACTTGGCCCTAAACCAATACTACACGCTTAGTACACAGCTCCAACACGAATTACGTACTGGGCTGCATAATACAGGCATTAGGATAGTGGTACGAGTGGTGACGGAAACAGGACTGGGATTGGACTAACTTCAGAATAGCTCCAAAACTGATTATATGAATGCAAGTAAACAATGTACAATAGCGGACAAATATGCAACAGCACCAAGATATAGGGCTAAAAGACGAGCATTGTCGATATTCCGTTCGCAAACACGCCCCAGAAAACATCGCCACCTCACGGCAAGTTGAACTACCATAAGTGAGTGAGTTGGCCCGACCGACTCAGTGGCAATTCTGACACAGCCAGTCTGGTAGCAGCTTTGACGTCATAAGGACATTTCAGACGCAATGAAACGATGGCATGCCGAGGAACAAAGTTACTGAAAAGTAAAATGATGTTATCTACAGCCGTCTTTTAGCTTTTTAAGGCAAACCAGTACCAACAGTGAGCCTATTTGATCATACCTGATGTTTGCCTGAAATTATTCAAATGTGGACCATTTCTTCTGATAAATGCCGGGCACAATGAGGAACACCTCATTATTTTTGGTATGAACAATAAATCTGTTAGATATGCACCTGTGTGTCAGAACTTAGCTTCTGCTAAATGTTTTTCACCCTGTCACTGAAGGTAGCTCCACGCAAACGTAGCGCCTGGAGGGGAGCTCCGCACCGTGCCGCGGTCAAGGTCAGACTGAGAACGGGATGGGCACTCGAACGGCGAGTGCTTTCGGATGTCCTGGGACGCCACCTGACCTGAATTTTTCCTCTCATGGCGGCTTGCTCCGCACTGATGAGCTCGGACGCGGTCTTCGAGACTGCCTTCGAGGCTGGTGGCTTTGTCCGCTTGCCGCTCTCTGACCGCTTCATCTGGCCTGCTTGTAGCCTTCTTGGCCGTCCCTTGGCGGTCATTTGCCCCCGCGTGGCGTGAAACGTCAGCAGCGTGGGACGCTGCTTCGCTCAATGCCCCGCTCATAGGTTTTCTCAGCACATTCTCTTTACCCAATGAAGTTGTCTTGGACAGTACTCGCGCTTTTGATGAGGTAGGATGTTGTTCCAAAAGGAAGTTGCAAGTTAAAGGGAATATTCCACAGTTGAAGATATTGAAGGAAGCATAAGATATGATGAAATGATCTCACCTTTAACTATTCATATCATTTTAAGTGGAAAACACTGCTCTAGACAACACTTTTTTGTTCATTAAATGTGCTTCTTAATACGTCATTGGTTGGGTACGTCATCATATCTTGAGCAACATTGATTGATGGGTAATTGACGTCCATTTTATATGGAAGAAGTGCTCTCGAATGCCAGATATGAAAGACTGGACAATAATACTCTTATGGCTAATGGAATGGCAGTATTTCTATTACGTTGTTATGGTATCATGGATGCCTGCGTGACCCTGAAATAATAGGCACGAAGTGGTGTGCACATCGTTGGGGCATTTAGTTCAAAAACTAGAAGTTTTTAGGTCATAAGAAAGACAGGGCTGTGAAATGCACCGAATGATCTTCAATGTAGCTATTTCAGTTTGAAATCCCATCGAAATATTGAACACTTCCCATAGCGGTATTGTTTCTGACATCCTCTCCCCACTTTTGCCATAGATGTACTTCCAAGAGCCCTGAGCTGCTCTTCCGGCACATTCTGTGCGTACATTCTTCTTCCGGCACATTCCCTGC